TACACATATTTCTGATTTTAGTCGCAATCGGTCAAATACATTTCTTGCGTTGTGGAGATACATTCATTCTTACCTTTATAACTCTTTATTTTTGTATTTATCTCAATAGACAGAAGGATGCTGACAGGCCCACGATTTTTGATTACTGTATAATCAAGTAAGTATTGACGGAATGGTACCTTCTGGCGCCTAATAGTTGTTCTCACAAGGTGTTTTGATTCAGAATTTGGAAACTATGATTTGATATTTGATGAAACAGAGCTTTGTGAATTAAATCAGATTTGAGCGATGATGTTGATGATCGTGATGGTGAAATTACAATAAAGAATTTAACATTGTATAATATAAACATGCCAATATATAATTACTAAATCCTATCAGGAGATTAAAAATCATATTAGTACCTACTTTTTGAACTAGACTCCTACTGATCCCTCGTGTTCAATAAGAAATATGTTTTGTTTTGTTTTTTTTCGTATTCAATACATTCTGTAGAAGAGTGAATTCTGAACCTTAACTAAAAAGTAAAAAATAAATAGACAAATAAAAAATAATCAAAGTGTCTAATTAAATTTGTAAAACCAAAATAAGACGAAAAACAGGACAGTGTGATCTATAAAGACTAAATTCTTGATAATAAAAATAAATTAGAAGAGAGAGACAGAGAGATAAAATAATAATTTAGGTGGAAACTAAAGGTAGCGAAACTCCATTACTAACACACAAAAAGCAAGACTCAAAATGACTTATATAAATAAAATCAAATATTCCCAAACGGATAAACCCATACAGTTCCCCAAGTCGAAATCCAATACAGAAATTACGCAAATGATACAAATAAAATAATGTACACCATTTTTTCTACATAAATAGAAAGACTTTAACATTTCTCCCAGTCAGATTCCTTATCGAAAGAGAGTAACCAAAGGAAAAATATACATTTCACATATACAAAGTTAAACAAGTTATACAAATAAAACAAAGTACTTAAAGTTCTTCTGAGACACGTAAATGTATGAGTCAAATCCTTACCGACTGAGAGTAAAAAAAACAACAAAGGAATTGCAGAAGTTATACAAATTGCATAAAACTGAACAAGTTATACATATAAAAACAAAGAACTCCATTATCTCCACATAAATAGATACACACATACAGTTCCCTAAATATTCTAATTTCTCCCAGTACGCTAAAGAAGAGCTCCCTTGGTCAAAAGTCTTACCGACACAGAGCGAGCAACGAAAAGCGCAGAAGTTTCGAGGTCGGAAGCTCTTGAAGAACTATGGGCCTGACCACCACTCCGGTGCGAGGAAACTTTAACAACAACTTGGCAACAGTTGCTGTGTCTTGTTATTGTAAAATTGACAAGTGTGGCAAGCCAAAGCTGTCTAAGTATGTAGGAAAAAAATGGTATGATACAAGGTACAAGTGTGGAAGATCCACAAAGCTGATTTGGCAGGTAGTACTTATCTCGAGGTTTCGTGTTGCCCATTGTTGCAAACTAGGTTGTATTCGAAGCAAGTAAAGCTACTTGTTTTAATATATAGGCCAGAGAAAAATAGCTGAAACTGGCGATCCACACTTTAACAGCGTAGAATGGGGGGGGGGGGGGGTCTTGAAAAAAAAAGAAGAGATGGAGCCAAATAATTTGCCGTCTCTCGCAAATAGTGTTATATTGGCATTAAATTAAACTTGCACTTCGATCTCTTTAACATTTCTCCCAGTCAGATTCCTTATCGAAAGAGAGTAACCGAAGGAAAAATATACATTACACATATACAAAGTTGAACAAGTTATACAGATAAAACAAAGTACTTAAAGTTCTCCTGAGACACGTAAATGTATGAGTCAAATCCTTACCGACTGAGAGTAAAAAAAACAACAAAGGAATTGCAGAAGTTATACAAATTGCATAAAACTGAACAAGTTATACATATAAAAACAAAGAACTCCATTATCTCCACATAAATAGATACACACATACAGTTCCCTAAATATTCTAATTTCTCCCAGTACGCTCGGAAGCTCTTGAAGAACTATGGGCCTGACCACCACTCCGGTGCGAGGAAACTTTAACAACAACTTGGCAACAGTTGCTGTGTCTTGTTATTGTAAAATTGACAAGTGTGGCAAGCCAAAGCTGTCTAAGTATGTAGGAAAAAAATGGTATGATACAAGGTACAAGTGTGGAAGATCCACAAAGCTGATTTGGCAGGTAGTACTTATCTCGAGGTTTCGTGTTGCCCATTGTTGCAAACTAGGTTGTATTCGAAGCAAGTAAAGCTACTTGTTTTAATATATAGGCCAGAGAAAAATAGCTGAAACTGGCGATCCACACTTTAACAGCGTAGAATGGGGGGGGGGGGGGTCTTGAAAAAAAAAAAGAGATGGAGCCAAATAATTTGCCGTCTCTCGCAAATAGTGTTATATTGGCATTAAATTAAACTTGCACTTCGATCTCTTTAACATTTTCTCATTAACTTAACCCACATTCCTGACATATAAAGAAAAGAATAAATACGTCTAAACCATGAACATCCTTTGACTCAGAAATAATTTTCACCAGAGTATAGCTTGCTGTAGATGGGAAACTGATAATGGCCACTAGAAGCTACTTTTATCTACAAAAAAATCAAAAGACTTGTATAAAAAGAAAAAGAGTAATTGTTAACACACTTTTCCCTTACAGCAACTGCCTCTTTATCATAACAAAGGACTATATGCTATGGAAAAGGACTTTTGTAATATATGAAAGAGTTTTAAGGTAAATTAACTCGTTTGTCCTTCTTGTCATAGAGTTTTCATAATTTTACGTGTATTGGACGAAGACAAAGACAAACTCGCCTGGGAATTCCGAAGTGAAGGGTATATTTACCCCAAGATTAAAAATGTCCATGGCACCTTCGATACTAATAATGCATGATGACTTTTTATTAATCTTTTCTTAGACCAAGTTGTCCGTAACTGTGTACATGTATATTTATTTATTTGTTTATTTATATTGTATTATTTTATTTTATTTATTTATTCATTCATTTTCTTTTTTGTCAAAATATCCTTTGCAAAATTTCGAAAATAAAAGTGTTTACCTTTCCTTGCCATGTGGCTACATTAGACAACAAACAGTCGAGGAGGTAATTTATAGAGGAAAGGTTGAAAATCAAACCTAAAAGAAAAACAAACATACCTGAAAACAAAACAATATATATATTTTTTCTAAATGGTAAGTAAAGATGATTCGTTTCGTAAAAAAAATTCGCATTACGTCATACTGAGGAGGAGAAAAGCATCCTTTTACTCAACTCAGAGAAAGAAAAAGCGTCCTTTTACTCAACTCAGAGAAAGAAAAAATGTCCTTATATTCAAATACAAGGGTGACTGAAGTATATATGTTAAAAGAGCCCAGGAAACTATGGTAAAACTATTAAAACGTCGTCGCGCTGCTATCATCTTGAACAGAAGGCGCCGTCCTGCTCCGGCGTTTCGAGCGAGGGGGCGGGATCCTTACGGCCGCCAGCTTCCAAAGGCCAGTGAATTTCTCAAATTCAAGTTTTAAAATTTGTTATTTTTCTTATCTACGTGAATTGAAGTTGAACTCTTCTTTAATCTTCCAAATTAAAGAAAAAGAAAAGACATTTTTAGTATGCGGCTGTTATATCAATTATGAATGCGGTGAAAAAAGAAATGAAAAAGTCAGAATTCCCCTGATAAATGCACGTCTTTCCGAATTCCCCCCCCCCCCCCAAAAAAAAAAAAAAAACGACGAAAAGGAGTGAAATTGTAAATTGTTCAACTTCTAAGCAAGACAATTAATGATAAATCTTTCATTAGACTCAGAAACCCAACACTGATACGCAGAAAGAGAAAAATTGAGAAAAAGGGAAGGAAATTCGGAAAAATGAGAATGCAAGGAAATGACTGAAAATTAGAAAGAACAAGAGGAAGTACGAGGGAATGAGAATAAGTGCGAAAAAATGGGAATAACAACAACAACAACAACAAAATAGTGATGAGTGGTTTAGCCAGGGGGAGAGAATGAGAGAAATAAAGAGAGAATGAGAGATAATGTGATAATACAGACTAATGCAGAGAAAAGAGAATGTGAAGAAATGCTAGGCGTGCAAGGGAAGAGTGTAAAGTATTTGTGTGTGTGAATATAGCACATATCCGTTTGCATGTGTACGTGCGCGCGCGTCTACACGTCTACCCATCGCCTCTCCCTCCTTTTCCTTTCCCCGATCCTTCTACCTCTCGTTCTCTTATTCACCCTCTCGTCTCTTTCTTTCGTCTTTTCGCCTCCTTCTGCTTCTCCACTTCCACTTGCTTTCCCTGTTTGTTCTGCGTTCTGCTTCTATCCCTATCCTGTCCTTCCTCCATCCTACCTCTATCCTGCTTTGTATCCTGTAGCATGTCCCGTTGCACTCCTCTTATTCGCACCATCTTCCTGTCCCCTCGCCTTTTCTTTTCTCTCTACTTCCACGACGCTAACTTCTCCCTCTTTTACTCGTTTTCCCTGCTTGTTCTACATTTTGTTTCTATTCTTATCCTACCCGGTCTCCTTCCTACCCCTATCCTGCCCCGTATCCTGGCGCATTTTCTCCCGTACCCCTACCCCTCTTATTCGCAACCTCTCCTTGTTCCTTCGCCTTTCGCTTTCTTCTGCTTTTACGCTAATTCCTCTCTTTTCCATTCTTTTTTCCCGTTTTTACTACCTTCTACCTTTAACTCTATCCTCTCCTGCCCCCCCATCCTATCCCAATCCTAGCCAGCAACCTGCCGTAATCCACAGGGCGAGTCGAGCACAGGCAGACCACTTCCCACTATGAGCCATTTTTCAGTCTTTCTTTTTCTTTCTGCTTTACGTTGGCGCATATCACTTGTATTTTACGCTGATTTGCACCCTTTGTATATAGTTCGTTATCCACATTCACAAGTTGTACGGATAACGAGCATATCAACATCTGCAGCGAGTGTTTTTTTTTATTATTATTATTGTGTATTTTCAGTTTTAGTTTTTTTGTGTATTCTTTTTACATGATTTTATTTTTAGTCTTTCTTTTACAAGAAGAGAACATTACTGACTTAATATTTTTTATTACTGAATCGCAGCAGATTGTTTTATACAATTTTTTTATGATATTTATAATTTTCTTGATTTCATTTAATGCTTTATTGATTTTATTTATGATTTTATATCTTTTATATTTTCTTTTACTATAACTTTTCTTATTTAGTCATTCAATGTTCTTAAGCGCTACGGTTCCGTCCGCGTGAGCTAATGTAATTCTCTTGTTTTTGTGAATAAGAGAAGTGGGTACTTTGCTTTTGTATTAACTAGTCCCTTTTGATTTACTCTCTGGATTTAGGTCGTGGCTGCTGAAACAAGGTGGTATTGCCCCTTTTACTTGTTTAGGTGTAGCTATACTGGGCTTGCTTTTTGATTCTTTTACATTACGTTTAGCTGTGAACCATGTGTGCTCGTTTGACTTCAACTTTTTACTTACTCTGAATTTTGCTTACTTTTTTTCTTGTACTTTTAATTCTTTTTTTCATGCTATATCCTTTTACCTGTCTTTCACTTGAGTTTTTGCTTTTGTTTACGACGCATCTTATTATTTTTTCCAGCTTTTGCTTTTTTACTTTTGCCTCATTTCACCTTTCACGTATCTTAGTATAGATTTCAGTTCATTTTACTGTTTCAAAGCTCTTCTGGTGTTTTTTTTTTTTCTTCTTTTTTAATTCTTAAACCCTTCTGGGAATTGTAACTTTAAAGTCTTGCGTGAAGTTTTACTTTGGTACTTTCTGCATATTCTTTTAGCTCAATTAAGGAAGTTTGTACTGTACTATCATGTATCCTCTTCGTGTTGGTCTCACTCCCGTTAGGTCTGCGTCTCCGGGGATAGTTGGCTTGTGAGGTCGCGTGGGTTCTGAGCCTTCAACCTTGGTCCCCTCACCCCCTTTTCGAGGAACGAACGGTGGGGGGGGGGGGTCATTTTCCTTGGCCCTTGAGCCCGAAGTCTCCCTCTTCACGGGTGGCTGCTCTTGGGTTCCTCCTTGCAACAGGAGCAGTTCAGAGCGGTGGTTCTTAACCTTTTCAGAGTCACGGGCCCCTTTAAGAATCGGAGGATATGGACCCCTTCCTCAGAAAGATTCATATAAACACAGTGTGTATAATAATGTACCTTGTTTATTGAGATTTGATGTTTATATACAAATATGAGATACAGAAAGTATTCTTAAACTTTAAACTAGACAATCTAAAAAAATACTCTCTTTTTTTTTGAAGAACCCCTAGTTGACGAAGATGACAGATAAACGAAGAAACAGAATAAATTTAAACAAGATAGGTCATCTCGCGCATCCCTGCTGGCTACATTACCGATGCTATTGGTTTATTTTCAGTGCTTAATTGGCATTTTCCCCTTGCACGTTCTATGCCTTCTTCAGGGCCAGTGTCGTCGCTAAAGTTTTTTTTTGTGTGTGAAATAAATCTGCGGATTAAAATTGCCAGTTTGTAATGTCGAAGAAACTAAGTGTAATCTGTGTAATGAAGAACGTAAGCGAACACCTGTACATTATATCTCAGAGTGCCATGTGTTATAGTCTTTCAGACCACCTAGCATGAGGTACGGTGAACTATGTGACTACTTCATATCATCTGATGTCTTAGAAGATATACTTATGTTGTATCCTAAATTGGGAATGTAGTATCACATGATCGCATATCAAATGTGCTTTTCCACGCCCAAGCTATATGCCAGCGTGACAGATCAGTAGATAAAGGACTGTGTAATTGTTCCTTTTCATGAACTGATAAAGTACTTACCATAACAATGTTATAAGCTAAAATTCAAATGTAATATCACTATGTAATGTTGTGACCATGCATTAAATGTACCACAGCTTGCCCACGCCTTTGCCGTCAGCCAGGGTGGTAAATAAAGGACTAAACTAAAAGAATTCGTAGGAAAATAACTTTTGTATCTCTGACCCGCATATTTTGTGTAGATTTGTTAAGCTTTTACTTCTTATTTGTCTATCTGTCTGATTATTGTTGTTTTCCCTATCTATTTTTTATCATTTAGTAAATATGCATCTTGATCTTTGTTTTTCTCTCCAACTCCTCTCCTTCTCATGTTCAAATTTGCGGTTCTTTTCGGCAAACCAAATGCGGCGGAAATTCCCGAAGACTTTTATAAACAGCAGGAGAAGTGTATGTAATATCATATAAATATTATATCATTTATACTTACACATATATACACACACACTTACATACATACACACACATATATACATGTACACTGACAGACAGATAGACTGACAAAAACATCCCAAAAACACGTTCATATCTCTCTCTCTCTCACACACACACACTTATGTATTTCTGTAAATATGTATATAAGTATGTATGTATGTACACACACACACACACACACATGTATCTATATGTATCTAATATATGTATGTATATGTCTAATATTTATATATGTATGTATA